AGCGGAAATGCAACTCAAAAGATTTATAAACATTTGATCGAATATCTCTCTCTCTCTCTCTCTCTCTCTCTCTCTCTCTCTCTCTCTCTCAAAATGAAGTAAACAAAGGCAATAAACAAACAAAACAAAGTTCTGATAATTTTGGATATCCACCCCAACTCCTTGGATTATGCAGGAACCATATATTTTTTTTTCTTTCATTGCAATTTCTATCGCCATTTTTTAAACACAAACGATCGTTTGTTTGTTTGTTTGTTTTTAATTTTGGAGGGAGGGAAGGGGGGGTTTCTTTCCAATGTTCCAAGTTATCTTTGGTCTGAAGATAACGATGATAAATACTTGCGCATGTTTGACCGCGTATTTAGTGTGTGAAATGCATAGTTGTGCAGAAAAAAATTATAGTAAATCATTTTTTATCGATAAAGCTGACGATAACAATTTTGAAATTAAAAAAAAATAAAAAAATAAAAAAAACACATCGGATTGAAATGTACATATAATTTTAAACATGTTTTTCATCTTGATGACTTATCATGAACTTAAATCTATCAAGCAGAAGCAATTATTTTTATTGATAGGAAAATCGATGGTCAATTTGGAACTTTGCATTGGTTGAACATCATTTGTCAACAGTTATGAACAGGCAAGAGCAATGCGTACAATTATCCGGTCTGGCTGTGATAGGGCTCACACTAATATAACGTCATCTATATCAAATTGATATCAATCAACAACCAATATCTATTTTTATTAGGGATTGCCAGAGGCTTATTGTACAAAATGTTTATAAAAACAACTTCGTGCTTTTTTTTTTTTTTTTTTTTTTTTTTTTTGCTTCTTAATTCTTTCTGCGTTGACTTAGAATTTGAATAATAAAAAGGGGATATTCAATGTTTTGTAGTTTGGTATGGAATTTATTTTACGAGATGGACGGTACACAGTTTTTTTTTAAACTCGTGAAAATAATCATGTAAAAAAACTGTTAAATGAATACAAAAATTCTGTTTATATCATTTTCCTCGATTTTCTATATGACGCCCTTGAAATTTCAATTGCTACACCATTCATATATGGAAATAAAAAAACGATAAGAAAATTAATCTTTTTGTGTACCAAGTTTCATTGAAATTGCATGGGCAGTTTCTGTAGGAGATGTAGCATATTGAAAACTGTTTATAAATCAAACAGACAGACAGATGGGGGACAGGCAGCAACCATCACATAAACTCTTCTTGTCCTTGACTATTATAGAGCCAAAAATCTTCATATTCAGAATGCAAGACTAATTAAATTACACTGTGCGCTCAGTCCATTTTTTTAACGCTTTATTCTATTTTTTATACAGATGATGACACATTGCTTTTGGGGGGAAACGGTTTACAATACAGCAAAAACATTTGTTTTAATATAATGAAGTCAATATATAAGAGTTTGAATCCCACGTAATTGTATTCCAGAGAGATCTATGTTCTTTTCAGAACTTACAGTGTGATCAATTCCTGTAACCAAATAACCTTTGGAGAATTGCAAGACTTAATGAAAAAGTGTTAATCTAGAAATGGGTTTGCTGTTTAATTCTCAAGAAGTGAGATCCCTGGAGAAGACGCGTTATATAGTTGTTACAGACAAAATATATTAATATATGTCACACAGTAAATCAAAGTTTGGTTGTTTACTTAGAGGTAATGTGTCGGCCATGAATTGAACAAATTTGAATCTAATCTACATACTGGCACATTCATATTGTGTTGATGTCCTGTTGTTCTTAAAAAAGAGCAGTTCCTTACATATCCCCCCACTTTCCCAATCCTGAGCTCATCCGAAACCTGTCATCTAAACAAAGTTACACGGGGATGCTATAACATTTATTTGACTTTTTGTAGAACATTGTTTAAAAACCAAAGTTTGTTGAAGATTATTATTATATAACTGCATGTAGTTGAGGGTAACAATGAAAAATTTTACAACAAGAAAACCATTGTCAACCGAGGTGCATGAGGGTAACATTAAAAAATTTCACCCCCAAGAAAACCATTGTCAACCGAGGCGCAGCCGAGGTTGACAATGGTTTTCTTGGGGTGAAAAATTTCAATGTTACCCTCAACTACATGCTGTATTTATTATATTATACTGAATGTTTTATACAAATAAATATAACACTGAACCGTGCGCGCATAAATATCTTTCCGTGCGCGCATTCAATATCTTTTGGAATATCACCCGTCGTCAAGCAATGTTAACTTGACTGTTGCTACCCTGGAGGGCGTGGTTTCATCATTCAGAGGGTAATAGTGTTTTTAAACAAATGTTTCTTGACGAATCAGTTTCAACTAATTTACATGAAAGTATAATATATATTTATGTATTCCTGTGTACGATTGGTCTCCTGTTGTTACCTCATCTTAGCTCTTAGGGTCGTGATTTAAACATGATAAAAAACAAAATTTGAACTTGAATCAACCAAGGTTGATATCTGGAATTGAATTAAACAGTGAAAACTAGAGTGTTTCAAGAAAGGCATGTCTCACCTGCAAAAATAAAACTACAGTGTGGTCAACTTTCATTTCAATGCTATAGTATCATAGTTCAACCATCGGGGGGGGGGGGGGGGTCCGAACCCACCCTCTATATGATTTTCAAATTTATCATATTTATGCGTTTACAGTAATGTTATATGTAATGATGACTTTAATAATGATTTTTAAACCCACCCCCGAAAATACGGAGCCCTCCTTATAAACTTCTGGATAGGAATTAAGAGTCAAATACATAGAGGACAGTGGTTTGTCCATCCATGAAATGAATGATCCTGGAGGATGGTCAAGGGGTACAAAACACCCTCCTAAGATTTTCAATTTCATTAAATTTGATCACTTGTAGTAAAGTGATCTAAGTAAGACTTTTGACCCACCCACCCCCCCAGAAACACGGACCCTTAAAAGTTGACAGAAAACAACGAGTCAAATTAAATTCATGAGGTAAGACTAATATACATGCAGAACTAAATGCGCAGATCTAGAGGAGGTCTGGACACCTCACCCCATCCCGGAGATTTTCAGAGTCACAATGTATTAACTTTCTATATAAAGTAGGGAAAAGGGACCATGGACTCCCTCCCCAAGGAAACACGGACCCCTCGTAAATGGTAAGGAGGGTCATCTATCTGAAGAAAATATACTTAGGAAAGTGACACCCCCCGGAAATAAGTTTTTAGTTTTTGGTAAGGTTTTTTTTTTACACCCCCCCCCCTTTTTTTTGCTTGTCAAAAAATTTACGAGTCCGATACAATTCTGAGGTGGTGAGGACTTCCCCTGGAAAAAATTCCTGAATCCACGCATATAATACTCGATCTGACACTAATTTCTTAATTCAGTGTGTAGTATATTTCTTCTTTTTAAATTAATTGTCTGTCGACATAATTTCTTAACTCAGTGTAATATGCAAATTTTTTTGGTTAAACCTAATAGAAACAAACACGAATGATACACTTATCATAATCAACAGGGGATGCTTACTCCTCCTTGGCACCTGATCCCACCTCTAGAATTTCCAGGAGTCCGTGTTTTATTCTCTCTTTACAGATTTGTATTCTTCATAGATTTTTTTTAAGATCAATCACTGTTCGTTATCTTCACCTTTTTCATTTAAAACCTTTGGGTTTATAACGAGGTTGCAATCTATATTGTTTCTATGGACTGTTGAGCTTGATTACGGTTCGTTATCTCCATATTTCATATATTAGTGAATAACACCGTGCTTTCCTTATAGAATAGTTAAGCACTCATCAATATTCATACATCTTCAATTCTAGAATCCCTCAGATTCATAACTTGAAAAAAAAAACGTCAGACTTACTTGATGTCGTCTAATTAATTACACTTCTTGTTTTTAATGCATATGAATGAGAACATCTATTAAAATCTAACTCAGAATCATGCACCAACTTTTCTAATCTTGATATAATGAGAAGCTAATTAAGGCTCCAGAAATTAATTCTATATGTTAAAGTCGCCCAAATATCCAATGGGGAAAAGAAATTCAAATAAAAATTGTCTAGGCCAACTTTAAAATAATGTTTGTTTGCTCTCTCCCGACTCAGGATGAAAAAATTGGGTCGGTAGGTAGGTGAGAAATTTTTTCCCCCGAAAATTTCAATTTCAATGCTGAATTTTCAGAATCAATTTTCCAGAATGCATAAAAAAAAAAATTGCTTCCTGGAGGTTAAAAAAAATTATGAGTCGGGCCCTTCGGTTGTTAGTCGGTCGGGAGAGGGGAACCAAACATTTTTTTAATGATGGCCTTCATGATCTTTTTAGAAGATCAGTCGGTTATAAAATGCTCTCAGATGACGAATACTGTCCAGTTTGTATCTGCTGAGACATAAAAGAGCACTGTTCTTTGATTTCTCCTGCATATCAGTATACTCTTAACCATTTAATTAACACCTCCAGCATCGGTGAAAGGGAGATAATTCAAATTATTCATCAATCTCTACCACGACAGATTTTGTATTCCTTGAACATGATGGGTTTTTGTTTTTTGTCCTCTTGTATTATAACAAAATCATGCTTGTGGTATTTATTATTATATCCAAAGTGGGATCATGATTGGCAAATATATATAATTCTAAACTGTAAATGACAGATGAACTGTTATACCAATACATTTTCATATACAGGAATGCATTTTAGTTTTTTGTAGGACAGACAAACACTGGCCACTGGGAGAGGTGATTCCTGTGGCTCTGCTGTGCAGGCAACTCAAAAAAGTGAGAATTTAACAGGCTGATGAGCAGAGGACGCATAATGACAATGTCAATCAGCAAAGCATGTCTAAGGTCTTCTACTTTTAACTGGACCATATATTTACACATCACCCATTGATGCTATATACAAATCTTTGTTTAAATTAGTTTCTGAGAAAAGGCTCTAAAAGTTCAAAACTTTATACACCAAGGTGACTTAAAAATTATCAAACTGTGAAATAAGAACTAAAGCACATACATCTGACAGTTTTAATTACATCTGATAATTATCCATCATTAATTTTAATTCTTCTCCAGCTTTCTTGACCTTATCCTGGTTGTCTCCCATGATCAGACATTTGGTCGGACATATAGCTTTTGGGTCCATACTTTTCACTTCCCTAAGATTAAAATGAAAGGAAACGGCAGGGTTGCCTCTCTTTATATTTCTTATGACTACACTTCGCAAAAAAACCCAGAAGTCCTTTCCAGGATGAACTGGAATCTCCACCACTTCTTTGTGTTGATCTGGATATGCCTTGAGCTTCTCTTGTATGCTAGTGACCATTCGTTCTTTCACTTTCTCCGCAGTTTCTGCAGTATCTGCAAAAATCTTGAAAAATGGCCGTTCTTCATCTCCAAGGGTTCCTCTTAGCAGTTTTATATTAACATTCTCTTTCCTGAATTCCTCAAGAATATCTGGCAAAAACTGGGTTGGGTCCAATTCTATTGGAATCTCTTCAGGGACAGGTAACTCTGTAATCGCTCCTGCTTGTAAAGTCTTTAATGTTTTATCAAGATATTCATTCAACAATTTTTCAGCCTCCTCTAATTTTGTTTGGTCACTAGAATAAATCATGATACCTTGTGGCTTCAATTGATACATAAGTGTCAAGTTACAATCAGTTTTCTTTGCCAGGTCTTTGATTTCATTAATGCTGATGGCATTCATAACAACAGAGGAAGGTATCTGGGTATCAACATATGGACACAGTACACGTTTCTGAAATTTCATTGAATCCAGTTGCTTTTTCTTTTGATCAATTAATTCTGAGAGTATATTTTTAATATTTTCTGCCCCTTCTTTGCTCTTAGCATATAGCTGAATGTTTGGACTCTTCCCTGCCCTGTTGATTACAAAACCAAACTTATGTTCCAAACTTAATCTAGCAAGGCTGTTCTGCAAATAACGGACTTCTTTATTTTTGGTAAATGGCAGTGGTACTGTCACGCTCTCCTTGCCATATCTTTCCTCTACTTGACTTTTCTCCACTGACTCAGTTTCTAAGTAAGCTGATAAATGGAAGTGTTTGGAAGGAATTCTGGTCAAGTGATTAGTATTGAGAGTTTTTTCCATGGTTGTTCCATTCCAAAAATTCCTGGTTTTCAATGCACTAGACGTGAATCCCTTTGTAGAACTAGCACAGCAGCTGCAAAATATTGAATAATTATCATAAAAAAGACAACAAGGTTCATGAACATTTTGTAGTTCTTATCCAAGATAAACAAGATCGCAAGTTTCCTATCTTTCAATGTTTAATTGGTTCTAAAGATAGTATGCTTGTGAATGTATTATTTCATCTAATAGTGCTGACTGATGATATTTTTCACGGATGACATTGACATATACCGGTTTTCAATATAAGCTTAGATACCCTAGGCTACACATCATTTATTCAAGTTCTTAAAATCAGATATAAAGTTAAACTTCGGTGTCTCAAACACCAATATCTCAACATCATGAATATCATGGATATCACGAAGTGATTTGGAAGACCCAACCATTACTCTTTTAGTATTTAACCTCTCTAATTCTTGGATATCTTATTTTTTCTCGAACCCATCGAGTTTGAGATGACAAGGTTTGACTGTATATAATGCATGATTTTTTAACATGCTCATCAGTTGATTCAATCATATCAATGAAAATTTAGGTAATCATGAAATGAATTTTGGAAAAATTTACACATTTTATTGTACTATAATACTTGTTAGGCTGAGATAAATAAAGAGTGCGTTTCCTATTCCAACCCGATAAAAAATAGGGTAGGTAGGTAGGGAAAACATTTTATTTTACTTGAACATTTTATTAGTTAAAATTCAACTTTGACAATAAACAAAACAATTAACTAACTTTTTAGGGGCAAATTATTTTCAAACCTTGCTTCGTTGAATTTATGGTAATACAATGGAACCCGCGATATAATGAGAACTAATTGCGTCATACATTATGATCTACGAATATTATGCCAGGTCTAGTGAAGTTGTAAAATTTTCAGGTACTAGTCTGACTTATCTAGTATATTTTGAACTTAATGTTGAGTCCTGTGAACGCGTCTAGATTCTCAAACTATTTCAATCATTCAGTTACAAAGTCAGAAATTATATAAGCCCTAAATACTTCGTTTATACACCCTGTGGGGTACGCATATTATTTTTTATTTTAATTTACTAAAATTAATTCATAAAATGTATACCATTTCAAGCCGATTTCTGAATATAGTCTGGTATTTGGAGATAACACGTGCCGAAAAATCCCTCTTCTAAAAAGATACGCCATCTTGGTTTTTTGGAGGTGAAAAGGTATTCCGTAAGTCGTACATCACTTATTTCGAGTATTGATTTCAAGATTTTAGAAAAATAAATTAGCAATTTCCATCATACGATTTTATTGTTATATATCATCAACCTATTTGATAAGTTTCGATAAGCTTTTCTGAATTTGAGTAAAAAAGATATGTACCTGAAAAAGGCGCGGATCCATGATTTTGCGCTTAGGGAAAAAAGGGGCTTTGATATACTCTGATACTTTGATATACTATATGCATACTGTCATACTCCATGTAGCGTCAATTCTTCGAGACTACTTTCCGTACGAATAATGGAGTTGTAGCGTAACATAATACTGAGCTGTCTGGAGCTTTATGGCGATGGGCATGAAAAGGTCTAGGTCCCCATCAATCCGGGTACACCCCTGAGGGAGCGAAGCTGCCCCCCCCCCCCCCCCGAAGCTCTTGAGAATCAGAGGATTTTATATAAGTTGCCACAAAAAATGGCAGTAATTTTTCCATATCATATCGATGTATGACAGGGAAAACTTTTAATTTTCTGAATGTTTAAAGAATGGATATATCTAATACATCTTAAAGTTCTTTGAAATAAATGTTGATGATGAAGACAATTAGTGCACTTGCTTTTAAATTTCGTCCAAAAATGTACAGGTAACACTCGATACCTCGAAGTCCGCGGGACCGGGACTCTATGTGTAAACATTTTTAAGAAGAAGCAGGGATGAGGCGTCTCCAATTAAGATAAACTTGAAAGCAATGAAGAAGAAAAAACGCAACAAAACAAAAAAGGGGGAAAATATTTATATTGCTGGAGTTCTGTACAATAGTAGTGTAAATCAGATGTGGATACTTAAAAACTCTAAGAAACTTTAAGCAGGTCCCTGCTTTTAGAAAATTTGAAATCACAAATTTTTATCAAAATAATAACATCAAAACGTACGACTTTTCAACACTTTATACAACCATCATTCCCCACGATAAATTAAAGTCACGGCTTTTTGACATCATAGACAACTGCTTTTTTAAATAAAAATGGAACTCGTTATCTTGTCATTGGTCATTTTCAAAATTATTTTGTTAAAAACATTCTGATTGTAAACACAAGTACTCTGGAGCTGATATTAAAAAGATGCTTAAGTTTCTGATTGTCAATATCTATGTAGTTTTTGGAGACCATGAAGGTCTTCCAACAATCTGTCGGAATTCCCATGGGTACCAATTGCTTCCCCTTATTAGCAGACCTTTTTTGTATTCATATGAAGCAGAATTTATTCAAAAACTTCTACAAGAAGTCTGAGAAGAAGAAAACACTTGCTGTGGCCTTCAAATCGACATTTAGATATATCGATGCCGTATTATCAATTAACAATAGTTACTTTCATTCATATGTCTACTCGATATATCCCAGTGAGCTTGAAATATAAGATACCACAGAGTTTCATATTTAGATATTTTACTAGAAAAAGACTTTAATGGTAACCTAACAACAAAGCTTTATGATAAACGTGATGACTTTATTTTTTCAATCGTCAACTTCCCTTACTTATGTAGCAATGTACCCTCATCACCTGCATATGGGTTTTTGTCTCCTAGTTGATTCGATACGCAAGAGCTGCTCTACGTATGAACAATTTCTAAAACGAGGCGAGCTATTGACAAACAAGTTGATGAAACAAGGATATCAACAGTCTCGTTTGAAGTCATCACTTTGCAAGTTTTATTGTCGATACAACGATCTTGTAAATACATACATATTGTTAGACCATTATTTACATACTGAATTGTCTTCGGATTTTTCCGTGTTTTTTTTTTTTTTTTTTTTTTTTTTTTTTTTTGATCATGACAAGGAGCACACGGCGGGTACTACCGGTCGGCAGGGGATGCTAAAAAAAAATCAATACGAGTGGGCCTCAATTTTTTTGAAAGATTTAAAAATATACAATTTTGGGCAACAAAAATATGATGCAAAGTTTGTCTTTTGAAATAGCATACACACCAAAGAGGTAAAAAATGATCATTTCATCATACATGTAGTTACTACATTTAAAAACAAAAATTTCAATACGAGTGGGCCTCAATTTTTTTGAAAGATTTAACTGAAAGTACATATATGCATAAAAAATATACAATTTTGGGCAACAAAAATATTGTGCAAAGTCCCATTATACCAAAAAAAAAAAAAAAAATACATGTATACACTTTTATGACACAACATTCATATATATCACTCCAGTCCGACTTTGTGAAGAGACATGAGAGGTGTAGCATAGGTGGGAACTTTACGACGCAATTGAATTAATCTTCGAGAAGTATTTGAAGTCCATAATGATCTTTGGCATGAGCTGTATAGCATAGTGGTTAGTTTGTTAGTTGATTCTCAAGATTTTTATTACTCTAAATGCAAAATTCACAAATTGAATATGGTTTTTATACATTTGAAGCTATAGGGATTTTACGCACACTGTTCGCTCATCTCGATCCTTTCCTCCGTTACTTTATTATGGTGGTATATTTCTTAAATATTTCACTTTTACATACATGTACCTTTATACGCATCCTCTGAGTTTGATGTGCATAGTCTTTCTGAATGTGATTATTTCATTACATGTGAATGAAGTTCAAAATGATGAAAATAACTAGGGATGTCAACGAGTAACCGGTTAACCGGGTACTCGATCGAACGTCCGAGTATCGAATACTTAAAATGGTACTCGGTTACTCGCATGTATATTTTTCTTATTTCAAAGTATATATTTTTATAAAAAAAAAAATTATCAATAAATAACTTAAATATGCATACGGTAAATAACGTGTCGTCATCTACACCTGTAAAACACGAGTTATCGCCTGTGGCTGGGTATATACAGTAATTAGTGACCAATCACCTGGTACACAGCTGTTCGCAACTATTGTTGTCCTTAATTTTTGAATGGCTTCAATGACTGTTTTCATTGTACATCGTTTAAGTATGGTCTATTATCTTCAAATCATTTTTAAACTATTTAGTAAATATACGGCAGCGAAATTAGACATGCATAGAAATGCCGTTACCCACTTCAAAAGTGAAGGAATATTAATAATAATAACGAAAGATAAAAAAAATGTTGAAAGTCAGTTTGCGTAGTAGGTTTAGCGTATACCGTGGAAACAACCAACATATGAAAAAAATATTAGACTAGCGATCCAACAACGTTCTTCTTCTCTTTCCCTAGTTTAATCATCACAAACCTGCGTAATAGATTGTCCTTTTGCTTTGATCAAATAGATCCTAAACAAGAACTGTAAACCATTTGTAATTTTTGATGTTTAAATTGTGTCGGTTGTGTTCATTTGATAAATAAATTTAGTACCAAAAAATCATTTCCGTTGGAATCTATGTTTATATACGTTTATAAACGTCATAAAAACAGCTTTGGGCTTTGACAGAGCTTAATGTGGCTCAAGAAAATTAACACACTTGTATTTACGTACATTTTTACCGAGTACCCGGGTATTTTAAATAACATATTAAATTTTCCGAAATGTTGACATATTTTTATACCACAGTTTGCAAAATGAACCCATTCAGGCCCATAGGAAGCAATTTCAGTTGGGGGGGGGGGCACAGCCATACATTTTCAGTTGGGGGGGGGGGGCACTATCAACTACCAACAATTCCTTGACAAGCAAAAAAAAGGTCATCAGACGTTTTTATTGAGGAGGACAAACATATAGTAGCTATGTTTTCTAAAGTAGTCTATATGTCGGCAAAATTATTGGGGGGGAGGGGGCACGCCCCCCCCCCCCCCCCCCCGGTTCCTACGGCCATGTCATTTAAAAGTTATCTCTCTTGGCCTTATAGAAAAGAAAATTAAAATTTCCAACATTCTGACACGTTGCAAGATGAACCCATTTAAAAGTTATCTCTCTTGGCCTACTACATGCATAAAAACTTGAAGTGTGAACATTAGAGTTGTTAAAAGAGACCGACCTAATTTAGGAAGTTAATTACAAAATTATCTTCTTTGCTTTAATTATGTGGAAATGATATAGCAATCAGATTTTGTGCAACTTTACCCATCTTTGAATTTGAATATAGTTAAAATACTATATACTCCCAATAAACAGGGTCTGGTTTCTTTTTTTCGGGTCGGGTGGGGGGGGGGGGGGCTAATAACGGTGTAATTTTTGTTCTACTTGAATAGAACATCCGTATGTTTGTTGTTGTTGTTTTTTCAAAATACGATAAAATGTAGTAAGTCTTCAAACATTCAAAGTCTAAGGTACTGACAACTTTCACCTTTAGGTTTATAGGAAATAAGGGATTAAATATAAAGACCGTCTGTAAGAATATAACCCTTCATTAGAAAAAAAAAAATCAATAAGATGCCATGCAGCTTCTTTGCATCTGATTCGACGTGTAAACTGTAATCTGACGTAAACTGTAATCTAACGTAAACTGTAATCTAACGTAAACTGTAATCTGACGTAAACTGTAATCTGAAGTAAACTGTAATCTGACGTAAATTGTAATCTGATGTAAACTGTAATCTGACGTAAACTGTAATTTGTTGTAAATTTTATTCCTCTTTTACTACATGTATATACCATTTTGCTCTGATTAAAGGGTAAAGGGTCATTAATGGGTTCTGTCTATAAAGAAATTCCATAGGATCAGGATGAAATTGTGACAGTTGCAGCATGAAGAATTGCATTGAATTCAGTAATTTCTGGGTTTTTTCCCCGATCTACAAAACTGATTTCTTTCTTCAATTTAAATCTTTTCATCACGTTTAAATGTGCGACAGAGATTTTCACTCTTGTATTTTATTCATTCAGTGAATACAGTCAAACCTCGTTATCTCGAACTTGATGGGACCAAGAAAAAAACTTCGAGATATCCAAGGGTTCGAAATATCGAGGGTAAAATACTTGAAGAAAAAGTTCTTGGGACCTCCAGATCACTTTGACATATCCATGGTATTCGAGATATCCGTGTTTGAGATACCGAAGTTCAACTGTATTTTTGAAGTTGTGATTTATATTACACCTATGTTTCTGTCTACTTAAATACAAACAGCCTCAAATCAAGACATACACAAGTAGTGATTTCATATTTTTATTACATCATTATCATTATAATCATCGTCATGATCATCGTCTTTATCATCAAATGATCCACACATTTTACACAGTGTTCAGAATCACAGAGTAGCTGATTTACCTTGGCACATTGATGGAAAAAATACTTACACATAAAAAATATATAAAACAGATAGGCTCACATTCCCAATAAATTAACTGTATACATTCTCACACAATAAAATGTCATCAATACAAAAACACTGGAATCTTTATATTGGTACGTACCATTCAACAGGCTCAAACATCGTCATGGATGTTAGTAAACAGTCATATAAATACTCTCCAAGCAAAAATCGGAGATAAGTTTACAAAGGCATCTCTATGAAATTATCAATGTCTGTATCTGATTTCTTCAGAGGGCAGTGACATAGACATATTTTCATATTCATGTAATTAGAAGAATGGTTTTTTTACAATGACATATTTTGCAATAATAATGAAAATTTCAATCTGACAACATTTTGATACATGATATTTTCACAACATGAAACAATATTGGCTAAATGATGAAAACTCACAACTATGGGTAAGCACCTATGTTACACATGATGAGCTATATTGCACTTATTTTATACCTCATACAAGTAATATTCAATCTCAAATGCTGACATTTTTCATGAGAACAAGATGCAGAGTGAAAAAATGCAAATTGATGTGAAAAGGAAAACAAAAAAAGATATAATACTCTCACCAAAATTAAAACATTTGGGTGACTCAGATTAATACACTGTATTAAAAGCTTTAACACATTCAGATCTTAAGTGTTCCTGCATTAAAAAATGCAAGTTCAAGATCAATACAAAAATGCTGCTTAAAAAAACTTTGCCTTCCTTGCATCATCAAAAATCGAAAATGTGCAAAAAACAGCAAAAGTTCAAAACAGTGAAATAACAATCGATTTGTTTGAAATAGCTAATGAGAGTAATTTAACATTTTGACTATATGTATAAAATTTGAATGTCTCCCACTAAATTCCATCCCACCCTCCTGTAACACAGATTTCAATCCCACTAGAGTCCATTGTATAAGGTTTCTTGTCTTTTTTTTTCTGCATAGCTTGTAAATCAGATCTTGTGGAGGGAGGTAATTTCACTCGTCTATTACAGACATTTTATGTGGAGGGAGGTAATTAAACTTGCCATATTTTCTCTGAGTCATCTTCTGATGATGTATTAGAATCTTTACTCTAAAAGAAAAAAAAAGAAACATAAAAATTAGACATGCCATTACGTAACATTGCTGTAATCCCACAAACCATTTACTTCATTTTTTCACTTTTTCAATCAACGTTAATGTTAAGATAAGCAATTGTGACAATTACAGGAGAAATTTATGGTTTGCAGACTGATGAGAAATAACTGCCTACCTCAGTTGTTAAATGCTGGATGTTGGATGCCAAATCTTCGTCTAGAGAGAAGGCTCGACTAGTTTCTAAAGTGCTTGAGCTACCTGATAAGAATAAATTAACATTCATTAAATTTTGTGACATTAATTTTCTTCAAATCCATTGCATAAGCTAAAATAAAATTTGAGACATGGAATAAAATTTGATGCAAGTCAAATACACCTATTTCTTTCTTTCATGGGTTAAGTGATGACCTTTTTACCTACTGACCTGTTTTGACATGGCGGATGGTGGGGAGGGTTCCTTTTCTGGTCAGTGAACACGTGGTGTGGTGGTAAGGACGGGGGGACAGAAGGGAGGAGGAGGCCGCAGACAGGGTATGTACACTACTGCTGCGTGTCATTGGACCAGATCTCTGAAACACACGAATCATGGCGTCCTTCTCTGCCAGCTCTGTCTGTAAACTTTTGACCCTAAAAACGATTAAATAACCAACTTTAAAACAAAAATGTCATTTCAATTTTTCTTTTACTTGTTTTCTTCTACTTTTTTTAATTTCAAATTGATAAAATGTTCAAAGATGAAAAAAAAAGATTTCTCAAAACAAAAATTATTTTCCCATATATTATTATATTTATTGCCCCTATATTGATAGCTAGTATTTCTTGCCCCTATATTGTAACCTTGTAACTTACTTTGCCTCCAGTTCCTCTACTTGTTGCCTGGCATTAATCACCTCCTCCAATTGTGTCAACTTCTCGATTTTCTCATCTGTTAAATTTTCAGAGTCTAATAAATCGACAGAGAGTCCATTTTGAATGGAGAATTGTCTTAAGGCACTCTCCTCTAGGTACTTCTGCTGCCACTTAATCACTTCTGTTTCCAATTTCAGAATCTTAGATTCCTTCTCGTTAAGAAGAGTCTGTAAAGAATGAAGATTTGTGACCTCCGCCTGAGATGTGGTGCTGTCTGATTTAGACACGGAACCACCATCTCTTTGTTTGGATTTCAGATTTGCCACCTCCTTTTCTAATTGAGTCCGCATTTGTTTTTCGAATTGTTCACGTTTTTCACATGCAGCCTTTAAACAGGAGAAGGATTTCTGGAGCTTCTCTAGTCTCTCTATCTGAACCTGCTTCTTACAACACTGCAACGGAAAGGGAGATAACTCTAACTCTACTACTTGATCTGTTTATACATGTATTAGTGTCTATCAACTTTTTCATTAATTTTACATACATTTAAATATTAAAAACTTCATTGCCAAAACAAGAGCTTAAAATGAATTTAATTAGATGAATTTCTAATTACCTCGTCTTCCAGCCTGACTACGTTGCCTTGAGCATTGGTCAGTGCATTGTCCAGTATGTCCATCTTAGACTGTTGTTCCTGTAGAGATGTCCGCAGCGAAGCCACGTCCAATTCCAGTCTCTCCTTAGTGGACAGTAACTCTTTGTCTGAAATTGTAACATAATTAATATAAATCAGATTTTATAATTAATATGTACATTCTAAAATAGAAATGCTCTCTAAAATCCAATCCCTCACTCTTTCCATATTATTGGTATTTTGTAATTGTTTTAATGTTTTAACTTTTTTAACAAACATTTGACTGGTATCTCATGTTTTGAGTGCAATTGTGAAATTTTAAAGGGAGATAACTCACTCTGTGCCACGAGAGCAGCAAACTTGCGACTTCTCTCTGAATCCGAGACCTGCTCCCCATCATCTACGCATTCCGCAGCTGACCGGTCAACTTGTTCTGTAAAAAGAGGTAATTTGACCTGATTAATCTTTACTTATTACATTTACCCTAATTAAATATGCTCCAATATTATAAAATATTTTTAAAAATATTGAATAAGAATATTTCATCAGAAAATAATATGTAAACAAACATGACACTCCTCAAGGTGAATTGCTTTACTTAATGAAACTAAATAATTACAGAAAAGTGTCATGCTTATGCAAATTATAATAACATGAATGTTTTTTATTTTTAAGCACAGCTCATGAAAATTTCATAAATTACAATTATCTCCCACAAGATTTTTAAAATAATTTATACAATTCAAAAGACATTTATGAATCATATTTTGAGCTTTTGTATTTCTGACCGAGGAATGTTTGCTATTATGAACAGGCAGATAAAATTTCACACCAATACAAAGGTTTGGGTCCTGGCCAATAGACATAGGAGATTAAGAGAGATTTCTGAGCTGATAATCGCATGCTTAAAGCCCCGGCTAACTGACAAAAGCTTTAATCCTGACTGTATACAGAGTGCGCAATTACACCCAAAACTTGACAACAAGCCATATCAATTGTAAATATTTCACCACTCCATATCTTTTGTTTATAGGTAATTGTCATTTTAAAAATATGGCTCTGGCCTTTATAATTCACAGATAGGAAGTCATGGTGCTTCTTCTTTGAAGTGGGTCTCAGTTATGCACAAAATAGTATATTTAAATTTAAAATGCATTTACCCTGAACAAGCATGCAATAAAGGCATGTTGCAATAGATTTTTTATTCAAAAATATTGGAAATCTGCCACAGTAGTTCAACAGGGCTGCCATATCCAGCTTAACTGAGTACATCATATCTAGAGTAACTGAGTACACCACATCTAGCATAACTGAGTACACCATTTCTAGTGTAACTGAGTCTAGCATAACTGAGTACACCATTTCTAGTGTAACTGAGTCTAGCATAACTGAGTACACCTTTTCTAGAGTAACTGAGTCTAGCATAACTGAGTACACCATTTCTAGAGTAACTGAGTCTAGCATAACTGAGTACACCATGTTTAACATAACTTTACCTTGTAGCTGTTTATTTGTGGCCTGAAGCTTTGTCAGCTCTTCCTTCAGTTTCTTTTTCATAATGGCTTCCAACTTCTCCCGCTTTTGTGAAGATTTCACCAGAGATTCGTATGCCTCATGCACTTTCTGAATTTCAAATTCAAACTTTTGAAGTCTAGAGACTTTTTTGTAATAAACATTTAGTTCATCTCTAAGTTTTCTGTTTTCTTCTGTTAACATGTCAATCATTTTATTGGCACGAGCGGTCAGGGGGTCCATTTCTTCATATCGGATGGAAGATGTAGGTGTACTGCAAAGAAGAAAAAATATTTTCTTAATGTGTCTCTTTTGTTTCCAGCATAGCTTAATTCAATTCAATGATGTAAACATTTGTGTTTACGTATTTTCACTGCATGTGCTTAAGTTGTTTTGCTTTAGCTTTCTCTGTTTTTCCCAGATGCTACTACACTGATTGCATAAAACTTACAACACATACATAATAATGTTATCATTTCTATAAATATTCTTTAAATTAAGGTCATCAACTAGAAAGGAGCATAAAATTCAAGATCCACCACAAATTTTGATACAAACCTTTGATCCTCCCGCTGTAAATGCTCCTGTTCCATCATTTTGCTGTGGGCCTCCCAGTAGCGAGTCAAGTCAGGCTGGGACTTACAGACAGACATATCGGCAGGGTCACTGCGATCCACGGTCTCGTAGGACCGTCGTAAGTGTTCATTTTTATCTACACTGAAACCTGGATATTCTGGGGGAGGGGGGAGTTGAGTGAAATATGGGGACTGTAGCTGGTCTACAGCCCACTGTTGTCCATTTGTGGAGGTTAATTGATCCGTTGTTTTTGTCATGGAAACACAAGAATTTGAAACTTGGTGTGGATGCCATGAAAAAGAAGACCCACAACACGGATTGTTTAAATATCCATAATTGTCTGTTGGATGTGGCACACAGTGTCCTGCCATTTGGTAATATGGCTGTGAAACAGTTGATGTTTTCATTTCTAAAGCTGTGGTGGGCATGCCCAAACGAGCAAGAATACTATAACCAGCATCACTGCTGGAGTAGTCTAAATGGGAGGGGTAACCAGTGGTAGACTGATTTTCTTCTCCCTGGGGTTCTTGTCTCATGCATGTGGATAAATTTTCTGTGGAGGACACAGAGACGTCTGTGCTTGTCTCACTTCCCGAAAAACTCTGTCTTAAACCTGTGGCGAAAATGGAAAAAATATCTTAATACTACATGTATGTGCTGTCCATAATATAATAATCATTTTATCCTTCCCAACATTATCTGAACTTTCTTCAAATAAAAAGGAATCAAATTTTTCTCCCTTAAATTATCATGATTCAAACATTTGTGTCATAATGTTGAGAAAGAGGATAAAAGGGAAAAATAGTGCAGTAAATGTATAAAATCCAGTGGAATCAATCCCTTACCTGGTGTATTTTGTAGCTGTTTAGAGTGGCCTGGGTATGGGGGCGGTTCTCGATACTGCTGCTGGGACATTGTCATGCCCTCGGGGTCCGTAACCACTAAGTACTCGTCACTAGAAAACTGACCTCCATTCATAAGATCTGTCAAATGAAAAAGAAAACACGTATCACAAATCTAGCTCTGAAACATTCTCATCAACAATTCAAATTCCAGCCCTTCAGCAATCCCCAACAAGCATTCCAAGCTACTTTTACAATTATAACATACAAAAAAAAAATAATTAGTGGTGAATTATCTCCTATTCAAATTTCCAGGTTCTTCTCCTGATCACAAGGGCAGGGGTATATTAGAGAGAAAGCATATCACAAGTGCCAAGGAAATGACTAACACACACACAGTGGGATAATATAACCCGCATTCCTGGCAGGTTTAGCGTTGTCTGTGTGTCATAAACAAAGGCCGTTCACTCCATCATAAACACAGGTAGAAAATGTTTCACTGATAAAACAACCCCTTATCAAACAGTGCAGATTTCCACATTTAAAAACACATCACTGTATAAATAACCTCATCAAAATATAGTCCCTTACTTAACATGGCTGCTATCCTCTACTGCAATTTTTTTTTTTAATCTCAATGCTTCTGCACTTCTCTCATGCCAGTAACACACTGAATAATATTTGATAATATGGCCTCTCTCAGCTACAAGTGCATTGTGGGATTGCCAAAATACCAAACGTTGAGGTATTGATCAAAACCAGTGTAGCGAGAAAATTATTCCACATTGGAATGCAGTACATTTCCTGGCTACAAGCTTCAGTGAGCCCACATTTTTCTGTGTGTACAAAAACACCCTGAGGACGAAACCATTGCATATTTGTTATGGCTAAACATAATTAAAACAGGAGTAGAAATATGTAATGCCCTCAGTATATTCTAGTTAGTATGTAAATCAATAGTATTTAAACATTCCAATCCAGACAAAACAATTCTAGGCAATATGACTTGCTTTCATTCATTATATTTTTCCTTATTGATTTTAAGTACTGAAGTAAATCTCCTAGCTGGTTTTTCTCTATTAATTTCTTTACTATGTAAAAGTATATTTTATATATATATATATATATATATATATATATATATATATATATATATATATATATATATATATATATATATATATATATATATATATATATATATGTTGTACTCTAATTGAAGAGTATATAGCATGGTAGTGGATGAAGTTTTTATTTGCACAAAATAATACTACATTGTACTGGGTAAAAGTTCCACTTAATTATTCTAAATTGTTTTAATTTTTATGGCAAATATTTATAAAATTCAATCACCTGTTGATTCTCATTCTACTGACAAAGAGATGATCATTTAATTATGAAAAAGATAAAAATGTATTAAACATAAAAAAAAGTGTAATTAAAAAATTTAATGTCCAGAAAGGCAGAAATCAGATTTAATTCAAGAAACTATTAAAGCTCAGAATAGAAAATTCTGGTCACATCATGTGACATTCCTTTAATAAATCATGCTTTTTGCCTAAAACTCCCTTCATAAATATTTATTTAATTAATTATCTCACTAATCAGATTCTTTATTTCTGCTAAATATTTGTGGTTTTGTATGATCAATCAAAAAACCTAATATAACACTGCCTTCTTATGTAAAATACTCCCCAGTTCAACTTAATTGTCATCAATTCCAATCCACAACATTCTTAAACACAAGCCTGTATGAATATAAAATATTAATGATCCAAATATTTATTAATTTCTGTGACCAATTCAATCTTCATTTATTTTTTTCTGTTTGTATATTCATGTATATTCATAAATACTTTTATATCATTTAAAAATTATTCTATCAATGAATTATACAAACATGAAACTTTTTTTTTCATCATTCGTGTTACACATTTCATTTTCTTTTCTTATTTTTTTTTTAAATTATTAATAATTTACTTTTTTTTCATAAATTAATTTATGAAAATTCAAACCAATTTTCTCCTATTAATTTTAACATTCAGAAGTAAATTCCTACCGGCCATTTCATAATCAATTAGGGTTCAAAATTTTATATGCCCTTCAAACCTCTTAATATGTAACAATTTACTGATCAGCTGTTAATAATTAATCAGCTTAAATGTTAAACATAATTAAGTTTCCAGTATTTTATAGTTCATATACCTTGGATCATATTTAAATTAGCATAGGTCGGAGAATCCGTCAATCCATCTCTGCTCTCAGTAAACATGGTAAAATCCCTAGGTTTTAATAAAATTCAAATCCAATTTTGAAATCACATCCCACGTTAATGGTCAATGAACACTTTCTATAATTTTCTACAAATTATTTCTTATATATCATCTGAGATGAAGATAGTAATCCTTAGGAAAGGTGCAATTAAATTTTTTTCCTTTTCTTTTGTACACTATGACAAACAGATCTCTTTCTCTCTTCAATTCGGTAGACACTCGGTGGGTTGTTGACACAAAATTAATAACACAGTTCTTATATCACTGATATTGTTAATTATTTCAAGTACCGGTACACGTGTTGAAGAATTCCAAAAATTGTCGCACTGTGTTAACGTCCTCCTTTTTTTAAATGGATCGCTCTGAATTATTTCGGTCAGCCGCAGGAGACAACGTTATTAATCTAAATGATGTAGCCTCTGATGTGTACTTTTAAACTTCATCTAATTTTCCACATCCTTGAAAGGAGGAAGAACTTCCATAAATGTTGTCACATAAAAGTTAGAAGCTCTTTATACTGACGTCCTTTTTTTTTTTTTTTTTTTTTCAATAAAACACCTCCAAACAGCTTTTTCAGAGAGCAGTGCCTCTTTGGTCGGTTAATTTTTTTTTAAGGCAGCTGAGCAGATTAGAGGGAATAGACAATTTGCATTCCAGAGTGATAATTCCCCACCGACAAATTGATTACCCCTTAGATATCAGGAGATATCAGCTGAATACTTTACATAGTTATACAACTATCCCGCTATAAATTCTCCACTGAGAAATGTTAATCTTAAAATTCCTTAATTCCTCACAAATCCCTTAATGTCCGAGAATTAAAAACCAAGAGTGAACAACAAATTAAAAAGTTTTCCTTAGATTTTCTAAAGAATTACAAACTTTAAAAAAAAATGTAAGCATTTTTGTAAAAAACAGTTTTTGCCCACGTCCTATAAAGTTATTAGCCTTGTCACGTTCTGATGTTATATGTATATGTATCAATGGATCCCCCAGATAATGGTGTGCTCCACATCCATTCAAGCTTGACAATTTTGGTATGGGCATGCCTCAGTGGACATCAGTATGTTGTGAATGTAAACATATCACCCTCCTGCAATTTTTTTTCTTTTTTTAAATGGAATGGAATGTCTAAAATTTGGCACCTGGTTTTAAGGGCGTCTAGACACACTTTTATCAATAGGGGACCCTCCATCCATGAATTATGTATTAGGGAATCTATTTAAGAAAGAAATAAACACAAAGAATGCCTCTCTTTGACTTACACTGAGAATTTCATTCTTTTGGTGAAATTAATATTGATTTACAGAAGAGTTCTCAAAAGGAATTTAAGTCTAATGGAAATTTCTCTCTATTCTTCATAATCAATTTTTAATATTTAATAAATTTGTGTTAATGTACATTTGCTGTCCTATTTTGCATATTTTCCTCTAAAAAAACAGCATTTTTGAAGTTTTTTTCTGTATTCTGGAACATTAACTGACATATTCCCTCATTTCACTTTTGATACCTGTAAAAATTTTATTACTGACATATAAATGTGTGATAAAGGTCACATACAGTGGATGGGCTTTGGTCGGCTTTGACAGCAGTATATATAATTTGGCACAAGTAGATTTGATAAGTGAGCCAGCAGGGTTTGACACCTCTAAGGTGAATGCTAGACCAGATTTATGTAATGAGTGAGATATGGTTGGTGGACAGCTGCCCTCGACATTCCTCTCACACTTACAAGGGTTACCACAATCAGATAATAAGAAGGTATTCATCACAAAGAGATTCCATCTTGGCTGATTTTGGAGACTCACTATCATGAGGCTTTAACCACAAAATATCTGTCCTCAAAGTGTATATTAAATATTTATAAGACAAATTTTCATCTATACAGCTTTTTTTGAAATAACATTTGGATCAGGCCCATGCCAAGGGCTCTATTGTAAACTTGAATCCCTCTATAATCTCAAAGCACTGTGTCGAAGTCTGACTTACAGAGAAAGAAATTCAGTTTCCTTGAAATTGTCCAGTTATCAATGTCACTGTTGTAACTAGGAATCTATTTAACTGAATCATGATTTACTGTACACAGTGATTTTATCTCTGCATGGTCATTTTTTTCAATTTACAATTTTGTTTAAAAAATGCTTTGCTTTTTTTTTTAATCCCATTTAATATAACTTAATTATAATATTGCTAATATCACAATACTAATTTCCTAGTTTTAATTTAACCCAAGACATACCAAAACTGAATGCAGTTCTAATATTTCATTTTTTTTAAAACTAAACATATTCTTATACCCTACACCCTCCTTTATAATCTATTCCACTCTATTACAGTCACTGTCAAAGACCTGTTATAGAGGAATTCTTTCTCTGTGTTGTCAGAGACAAAAGCCAGATAGGACAATAAATCACCATTAATACCTACAAATATTTATCCCATAAACCCTTGTTGTTTCTAATTATTATCTACTTTGTACAACATGGGGGCCCCTGGCCACTTGTTGACTCGTGTGATTATTATTATACCCATCATACTACATGTACTGCACCATCACTCAGGATTGTCTATATACTTAGTACACACTTTATTGCGAATATTACATTTATAAAATTACATGTACTTTAATGCTCATTCCCTGACAAAACCTTTGAGTATATACAGGGTATAGGAATTCATTTGTGAAGTACTATACAGTAGTCCATTAGTGATCAAAATTCTTTCCACATGCTCTCCTTGGACCTGGGCCAGTGACCTTCCCTGGTGGACTCACTCGACCTGGGCCACTTGTATGGGCATCACTGTAATTAGACATGGGTCATCTCTTCTGACTCACTGGACCAAGGCCATCTCTTCTGGTTCATCTTTGATCTGAGCCATCTTCCCTTGCTCTTCTTAATTGACCAAGACCACCTCCCCTGGTTCTTCCTTGACCCGGACCACACCCCTCTGTTCTCCCTTGATCTGAGCCACCTTTTTTGACCCCGGCAACCTATCCTGGGTCTGACTGGACCTGAGTCACCACATGAAATGGTCACTATTTTTCCTTCTAGTTGTATCGCTACTAAATCTTTAAGTTAACTAACCAAAATCTTAAGAAGAATCAAATTTCAATATCAAGATAAATTGTAAAAAGGCGGGGCAGTCAAAGACCTTGTAATGAGATGACAGCTTTTGATCTTGAAATAAATTCTTAATCTTTGATCAAGATCACCCTGATTATAATTAACTCACTTGACATATCCCTTGTACTTGAAGTATGGATATGTCAAGTGTACACCTTTTTCTGTGAGAAAGAGAGGAGAAAACTATTCTAATTTTATCACCAGGTACCCATCTTTGTAGGCCAACAAGAGCAAGGTATGCCTAAGGTGTAACAATCTTAGGAATGTACATGTACCATTGTAGACCAGGTTCACCTATGCACTAAGACACACCCAGCCACAAAAATTAATCTTAA